CACTATAAAATTTTTTAAAGTCTTCTGCTAGGTGACCTAGCGCTCTAAAAGTCGGCAACTTTTAAGATGTTTTTATTTTAATAATTTTTCACAATTTCGCACCTTGCCGTCGTAGTCATAATTTTAAAGCATTTTTGCATCGCACAGACGCTCAGAAAATTTGCTCAATTGAAAATTTCGCAATTATTTTATCTGCAATTTTCTCCCAGTTTTTGTCTTAAAGTTTCCGGAAGACACTTGGTTTACTAAAGTATTTTTGAAGCTTATCGCTTTGGCTGATTTTTTTTGGGCGGTCATAGGTCGATTCGCATCAAATTTTAATTTCACTGTCCTTCACATCTTTATTTAAATAAATTCAGAGTTAAAACGTGGAGACGAAGTGGGTTTTCCGGCGTCGCTTCTCATAACTCTTGAAAACTTTTTTCAAAATTAATGAATTCGATGTTAAATTCGTCACTTTTTGAGCCATTTTGTCTTCATTCATTAATTTTCCTCCATGCAATTTTTGTCAATTTGCCCCCATGACCATAGCCTATACAAACAATTCCGCTTTGCCCCATCCGCCCATCACATCAACACAAAATTCTCCCACCCAAACCCCGAACCGCCCCCTTTTTTTTATGAAACATATTTGATTGATGACAGTGAATGCGAGGCGAGGCTGATTCAAACAACCTGTTTTCGAGGGAATTGATTTTGCCCATTTAAACACAACTTGTTGACTGTTATTTGCTTCTAATTCAAGCTATTTTTAACCCTAATTTTTCACGTATTTTTATATTTCAGACAAATTTCCAGTTTACCGTCACAGAAGTGTTTTTCTTGTTGAAGTTCTTTTCGGATTTTGAAAGGTTCAGAGCACCTTTCCGATCGTGCAAACGTGAAAAATTTATCGCTTGTTTTTACGGTTTTCTGCATTTTTTCCACGCGTTTTCATTTTTCGGATGCGTTTTCGAAAAGATCGATAGCAAAATTTTCGCGAATATCGATGAAATGCATCAAAATATTTAAAAAAGTCGAGAAAGCGATCCAACGTTTTAGCCGAGAATGTCTTTTCTTTAACGTTTAACGTTTTTAACAACTTTGAATGATTTTTTAACGTTTTTACGAGCAAAAATAATCCTTAAAAAAGCTTTTAATTGTGTATTATAATATTTTTTTGCGCGAAAACCAAGAAAGCAGTGAATTACGATTTTCTGGCTTAAAAACATAACATTCCCAGGACCCGAACGCTTGGCCGTGAATTTATGCCAACGCAAAACAAGCAATGCTAGGGATCGTTAATTGATAGCGTAGCTAGAGGGAGGTCTTTTCTGACTGTCTCTCTCTCTCTCGATCTCTCTCTCTCTCTTGTCCTCCACCTCGTAAAAAAAGATAAATTCACGCCGGGGAAAAGCCCTGAGGCGATGTGGCGGGAGGGCAGGTTGCGGTTTGATCACACGCTAGAGCTGTGTAACACCCCCCTTGTGGCTAGAGGAACCTGTTCGATTGGCACCCATGAATATACGCATGCATATCATCGCGATTATCAGGCTGTATTCATAAGCTGAAAACCGTTTTAGACCTCGTTTCTTGGCTGTCTTAATTTATTACGACATCAAATTCGTACGGCAACCCCGTCATTTTTCCCCTTGTCCAACCGATTTTTGCGCTTTCTCCGTGGCCTTCTTAAACCTGCTGACCCTAGATGCCATTTTCGAACAATTTCCATTTCACGGCATTCCCGAATTCCATTTTTAAAGGGACTATGAAGCCCGGAAATCTACTCTAGCATCGACTAGGTCTCGACAGCCAAAAAATGTTGCAGTTTGTCAAGAAGGCCCCATAAACGTGTGATTTGGGAGGGCGCGTAACTGTCGAGACCTAGTCGACGTAAGGGGTCGATTTTGTAGTTTTCAACCACTTTAACTGGCGAAAATAAATTCAGACCTCTTAGCGATCCCTTTAAAAGTTAGGACTCATGTTTTCCAATTTTTCGGAGGAGCTCTGCCCACTCTCTCTCTCTCTCTCTCTCTCTCTCTCTCTCTCACTCTCTCTCTCTCTCTCTCTCTCTCTTTCTCCATCTTTCTCCCATTCTTTGAATTCCGTGATTTCAGCTTTTTTTCTACGTCTCGTTCCCAGGGCTGCTAACTAACTGGCCTTCTTTCTTCTCCTACGGGACGCCGGAATCCAATTTTCCGCTTGTAAACGGCAGTGAGAGAGAGAGAGCGAGAGAGAGAGCGAGGGAGAGAGAAAGAGACAAGAAATCAGAGAACGGATAATTGTATAGATTTTACGAGCGGTCCTCCTCTCCTTCCTCCCGGTTCGTCCGGATGACCTTTTCACTACTTTGCACAACTTGTTTCCCCTCCGCGCCGTAGTCCTGCGCCCGTTTTCACACAATTTATCGAGTCATTCCGCGGTGCGCCAATTGACGGCGTGCGGAACAGCTGCTGAACTAGTTCGGAAATGCGTTATTTTTGCAAAAGGGTTTGGGTCAAAAGTTCTTGCATTTTGTTGGATATTTCGGATTAGCGTCGTATCTTTAGCTAATTTTTGTCCGATTTCCTTTATCGTATTTTTAAATGCCGGGTTTTCCATACTTCGAATATGCAGAAATTCCATTTTTCCTCCGAAATTATTTTTTCGATTTATGTATGAATTTTTAAGTTTTTTTTTAGTGGTTAATTCCACCTTAAAATTTTTTTTATTCAATTTTCCGCTTATTTTTTGGCATTTTAATCTTTTATTTTGATTTTTTTCAGTGAATGAACCGCTAGACTACAAACTACCGCTACAACCATCTTAAAAATGGTAAAAGAAAAGGAAGAAAATGGTGGCAGCGCGGGGCCAGCCGACGAACCGGTGCCGCTCGAGAAATTACTACGGATTGCCGACTTGTTACGGTGGGTAGTTTCTATACTATGAAAATTAAAATAAATTGGTTTGTTTGAATAATATAAGATTTTTAACAGATTGCGTTTGGTTTATTTCTTGTTCTATCGATTTTAGAGATGCCCAGACCCAGTCAAAATCTATAATTTGGCCCAAACCAGCAACCGTTCTGTATCCCCGGGGCTATTGTATGCTAGCCTCCACCCCAGCGGGGGTCCATCCAATTTACGCCTCTTCCATCGGGTCCCCAATACCCGTCCGGGCGACACATTAAATTTGCATAAAAGGGGTCTGTTGAAAGGGAGGGGAGGTGGCAGATAAATCCGGCACCTCTTCACCATTTGGGGTGGTAGAGCTTCAAAGGAAAGCCGCTATATACCATCGGCCCTAAATCCAGCAATGGCATTTGTACAGTTCCGGAGGCTTAGATTTGGATTTTGGATCATTTCTTCGGATTTTAATTTGAATACTGGCACGAGTTAGAGCTCTCTTTTATTTATCTTATTTTTTCAGTAATAAGAAATTAGATTAACGGTTTCTTTAGTTTGATCACAGCTAGCCAAAATTTTTTTTTGTCTTTTTTCATGTTGTTTCGACAATCTTCTATTTTGTCTTGTCGTGCGCATCGATTTTGCATTCAACTTCATTTAAATAGATCAAGCCCGGATCACTGATGCATAGAGGTTGTGATGGGCAAAGTCCCTTTGGTCTGTCCAAGGGCAAAATTTGCATAACGGAACTGTTGTTTACTAGGGCCACCGATAGCGAAAGTTCCGAGATTCCAAACACAGTGTAAGTAAATTGTAAATAAGCATCATTACGTTTAATATATAAAAAATAGAGTGATACCAGACAAATCGAAATATTATAGGTACGAAGAAAAACTCCGCAACGTGTTGAAGCTACGTCACGCCGGTGATCTACAGTACGTCGACGAGGTGGACCTGAATGGGATTGGCATGAGCCGACCAGAGCAGAAGCGGCTACGCCAGGAGTATCAGAAGCTGTTCCCGAAAATCGGAGTGTTTGGAAAGTTGAAAAAGGTAAGAAGGGAGAGAAAGAAAGAAAGAAAGAAAGAAAGAAAGAAAGAAAGAAAGAAAGAAAGAGAGAGAGAGAGAGAGAGAGAGGGAGAGAGAGAGAGAGAGAGAGAGTTAGTGAGAAAGAGAGAGATTGAGCGAGAGAGACATAGAGAGAAATCAAACAGTTTCGAAATTTCAGGCCTTCACAAAAACCGAAAACGGGCACCACGTCGAGGCAAGGGAAGAGTCGAAGACCGAACAGCATGTGATCCCTATTGAAAAGGTATTTCAAACGGGTTTGCTGGATTTAATGGAATTTTCAGATAACCCTCACCAAAGAGCTAGGAAAAGGAGAATTTGGAGCCGTTTGGCAAGCATCGTGGAATAATGGCCCGGCCAGTCAGGACACCATGCAGGTAGGCTAAAATTGAACTTTGAAAAACTTAGAAAATGGAGGTGTTTTTGATCAATAAAATAGAGTGAAAATTACTAAAAAGTTTGTTTCTAGGTAGCCGTGAAAGTAATCGCCACCGGCAAGCTGGTCAACTGCACGACAAGTTTTCTCTCTGAAGCCGCCATTATGACGAGGTGGGTCTAAAACATGAAATAAATTCCAGATTTCGGTTTTAAGTCAAAGCAGATTAATTTTAGCATTTTTGGAACGTCTAGTGTTATTTAAATACGTTTGCTGAAAGTTAAGTTCTTTTAAAGTATTTTTAATCTTTTAAAGACAAGATAGAAAACAATTTTTGAGCTTTTCACCCCGAAATCAAACATATTTTCAGGATGCGCCACGACCACGTCGTGCAACTGTACGGTGTTGTTCTCGACACCCGGCAGGTCATGCTCGTCTCGGAATTAGCCACCTGTGGATCTCTCCTCGAATGTCTGCATAAACCAGCGCTTCGGGACCTATTTCCAGTTGATGTGTTGTGCGAATATGCTCGTAAGTTGAAGAGAAATGAAGTCTGCATATGGTGATCCCCGCCGAATCCTAAAAAAGAAAGAAAATCTTGAAAATCTTAAAAGACAGAAATGAACCCAGTTCCATTGAAACAATTTTACAAATTTAGCTAATTATTTTTTACAGTACAAATCGCCGGAGGTATGGCCTACCTCGAATCCCAGCGCTTGATCCATAGGGATTTGGCGGCTAGGAATGTGCTGGTTTTTGGGCCAAAGAAGGTAAGATATCTTACTAACCTACTATCCTACTATATATAAAAAAATAGTGTTTGTGTGTGTGTGTGTGTATATTTGCATGCACTTCCGTTTGGATGTTCCGCACCTACAGCCTCAGGGAAGCATTTTTTCGGTAGGGAAGAAACGTCATAGGGTAAAGAAGGGGCTGGAATCGACTGCACACACATAAAAGTTTTGAAAAATTGCTATTTTCGATATTAAAATTAGGTTTTTGTAAAGTTTTCTGCCAACCTCTTTGTTAGGAAGCAGTTAGCATACGCCGGAAGTGAAAATGGTTTATAAAAAGGAAGAGAGGGCGCGCTTTTCATTTTTTGGTGAGCGGTTTTGGCAAGGATTATGCAAAGTCAATAACTTCATCGATCCTAGACGGGGCCAGGGTTGAAAAGCCGCCAAGCGGTTTTTCAACCCTGGTATATAAAAAAATAGTGTCTGTGTCTGTGTGTGTGTGTGTATATTTGCATGCACTTCCGTTTGGATGTTCCGCACCTACAGCCTCAGGAAAGCATTTTTTCGATAGGGGAGACGCGTGAATAGCTAAAGAAGGGTCCCGAATCGACTGCACACACATAAAAGTTTTGAAAAATTGCTATTTTCGATCTTAAAATTAGGTTTTTGTGAAATTTTCAGCCAACCTCTTTGTTAGGGAGAAATTAGCATACGCCGGAAGTGGAAATGACTCATAAAAAGGAAGAGAGGGCGCGCTTTTCATTTTTTGGTGATCGGTTTTCGGCAACAATTATGCATAGTCACCACTTTCATAGGTCCTAGACGGGGCCAGAGTTGAAAAGCCGCGAAGCGGTTTTTCAACCCTGGTCGTTTTCTAAAATTGTCTCTTTCTATTTTATTATTAAAGTTTTCTCTACCGTAAGTGTCCACCCTTCTTACAGATCAAAATCTCCGATTTCGGCCTCTCCCGATCCCTTGGAGTTGGCGAGGATTACTACCGCAGTGAATTTTCACCAACGCTGAAGCTGCCGATTGCCTGGTTAGTTAAAGAGCTTTAATTTTTTTTGTTAAATTATTAAAAATCAATAAAATAAACAAAAACAAGAACGACATACCTTTACATACGTTTCCAGGTGCGCCCCCGAATGCATCAACTTCCTCAAGTTCACCTCGGCATCTGACGTCTGGTCATATGCTGTCACGCTGTGGGAAATGTTTAGTTATGGGCAGATGCCATGGCAAGATTTTAATGGGGCGCAGGTAAGCGTTAGTGCTCTCTCTCTCTCTCTCTCTCTCTCGCTTCTCTAATTTTTCGTTTTAGATCCTGGAAGCCGTTGATCGCCGCTGTGAGCACCTTGATCGTCCTCAGTTTTGCCCTGACGATATGTGGGATTTGTTGAAGGATTGCTGGCAGCATAACCCGGATAAACGGCCGACTTTTAAGGATATAGGTATGTAGAACTGTAGCTCTCTCTCGCTGTCTCTTTCTTTCTTTTTGTCTCTCTCTCACTCACTTTCTCGCTCTCTCTAAAGTCCCTTTTCCAGTCGACAACTTCCACGACCGTATCCCACAAACCGTTCGAACCGTCCAAGAAGCCGCCCGGAAGCCAGAGCCCTTTTTACAATTCAAGCGCGACGAGCTGATTACGGTACTTTGCAGGAGGTATGGTAACTTATTTTTTTTATTTTCTAGACATTAGAACCCATAAAAAAATATTTTTTCATTTTTTAGCCCGGAAGCCTACCCGGATGGCTACTACTGGCTGGGATCGACGAAGAACGGGAAAGTCGGGTATTTCCGGCCGACAGATACGGTAATTTTCTATGATTAAATTTATAAAATTGCGATAATTTAGTATAATTATGATTTCAACGAATTAGATTTGAAGGCAAAAATTAGAAATTTAAATTTCTTTAATTTGGCCGGTCTTTAAATCAACCCGGTTGCATTAAATTTATTTAGTCGACGTATGTATAGAAAAATAAGGTTATATAATTTTTATGAAAATATTTTAATATATTTACGCAAATTGTAGGTGGCTCATCTCGGTGCCGAAATTCCAACAATCGCCAAAATCGAGCCAAAACTCACGAATGGAAAATCGAAGGAGGCAAAAGAGACGAAGGATAAGGTACGGTTCAATTTGTCATTTTTTAAGCTTAAATTTACTTAATTTGCACAATTTTGATTTATTTAATTATTGACCAGTTTTAGCTTGGCATTAAGAGCAAACTAATGACGCACTCCTGCGATGAGGCAACGCTAAGGAAAATCCTTGTAACTGAAGTAGTCCCTTTCAGAACCCTTCGTGTTTTACCACTAACAATTTTCGAATGTGGTTTTCATTAATGCGCGAATGCTATATTATTTGGCTTTTGCTACAAACTAAAAATTTTGAAAATTCCGAATTTTTGCGGAAATTGGGTTTTTGCGTCAAAATTTTGGAAAATACCAAGTAAAAAGTGTTATTATTTTTAGCACATTTATATCTTATATGATCAAATTATTATAAAAAACCAGCGGGGGAGGAGCCGCTTCGCGACTCTCCCCCGCTGGACCCCGTCTAGGCCTTATGAATCGAGCACCCTTCCACAGACAGTTATCCTGAAGAAAGAAAAACCCATCTCCCATGCAAAGCTCTTTGTATTGGCATGCGGCGCAAGATTGAACTGTTAGTCTCGTTATTAGGCCTGCGGCGCATGTTTGATCGGCTAGGTCGCTACCTCATCCTGCGGCCCAAGCTTGAGGGATTAGCCTCCTTTTTTGGCCTTTGGCGCTAGCTTGATCGGCTGGCTTCGTTCTAAAGCCTGCGGCGCTAGCTCGAGCGGCTGGCTTCGTTCTGAAGCCTGCGGCGCTAGCTCGAGCGGCTGGCTTCGTTCTAAAGCCTGCGGCGCTAGCTCGAGCGGCTGGCTTCGTTCTGAAGCCTGCGGCGCTAGCTCGAGCGGCTGGCTTCGTTCTGAAGCCTGCGGCGCTAGCTTGAGCGGCTGGCTTCGTTCTAAAGCCTGCGGCGCTAGCTTGAGCGGCTGGCTTCGTTCTAAAGCCTGCGGCGCTAGCTTGAGCGGCTGGCTTCGTTCTGAAGCCTGCGGCGCTAGCTTGAGCGGCTGGCTTCGTTCTAAAGCCTGCGGCGCTAGCTTGAGCGGCTGGCTTCGTTATAAAGCCTGCGGCGCTAGCTTGAGCGGCTGGCTTCGTTATAAAGCCTGCGGCGCTAGCTTGAGCAGTTAGCTTGATTCCTTGGCCTGCAGCGCATGCTTGAGCGGGTAGCTTCATTCTATAGGCTGCGGCTTGAGTGACTAACTTCATAATAACGTCCTTACACGGAAATCCACTCCGAAACGCGCTTTCCGAGCAAAAAGCAAAACAACTAAAATGTCCGAGGATCGAACCTCCGATGGTGAGATTAGCACGGCGAAACGCTAACCACTCCACCATGCAATGCTTGGTAGCACGCGCCAAACACCCGTTTTATGCCTCAAGAGGACTGCCCGGGGCAGGGGAAGGAAAGGCATCGAGAGGCAGATCCAAAGAGACGACCAAACTCGCGAGTGCAACTGGCAAGAATGAGGAAATTTGTATTTTTTCACATTATGCAAATTAGCCCTCCCGGACCCCCAAAAATCAATAAAACCGGCTTTAACTTTGTTAACTTGTATTTTATCGGGATTCTGAAAGCGCCATCGGAAAGAGGAGGGTCGATTCCCCCGGGTGACGGAGAATTAAGGCATTTTATGCACGGGAAGGCCCTCAAATCGGGCCTCGAAAGTGACGGCCGGACACACACACAGACAAAGATACGCGACCAAATTATATATATATAACCAGCGCCCAACACCCGCTTCGCGGGCCTTGGGCGCTGGAATGCGGCCTTTGCATGAAAAATTTGACTTCCCGATAGCTCGGGTCCTTCGGACCCTTTCCCCCCACCGGCCACACACGCGAGTGCAACTCGCAAGAATGAGGAAATTTGTATTTTTCCGCATTATGCAAATAGCCCTCCGGGACCCCAAAAATGAATAAAACCGGCTTTAACTTTGTAAACTTGTATTTTATCGAAATTCTGAGGACGCCATCGGAAACAGAAGGGTCGATTCCCCCGGGTAACGCAGAATTAGGGCATTTTGGACAGGGGAAGGCCCTCAAATCGGGCCTCGAAAGTGACATCCACACACACACACACATACGTGCCAAAATTATATAAGGTAGGATTATAAAAAATAATAAAATATGATAAAATAACCCAGTAATCTTTAAAAAATGTTTAAAGGAAAACGTGTCAATTTTTCTGCGTTTTTTAGCACCCAAAAACGATTTAAATACACTGGAAAAATAAATACCATTTTTAGTAAAAATATTATATATATTAGATAATAGAAAGAGAGAGAGAGAGAGAGAAAATATATATTAGAAGTCTGATACTGCCCCCCGTTAACAGAAACGTACCCAAAACCCTCCCAATTTTGCAGTGGTTCCCATACTTCGTAGTGACGGGTACAAATCCTCGATTTTTCAGAAGAAAGAATGGAAATCGTGCGACAGAGAGACGAAAAAGTTGCTGATTTCGGAGCCGCAGGGCGAGCTGCGGCATATGTGTCATGTTGGGCAGGATGGGACGGCCATTGGACTGCTTCAGGTTGGTGGAACTTTTAGGTGGAAGGCACCAAGAAGCAATAAAATCAACCCTTCCCTAAACTAGCAGACACGAAAACAGACAGCTAAGCGGTACTCTATAACCCGACTTCCCGGCCCCTTTCATTTCTACCGTTTCAGATCGACAAAAAAGACCTGGCCCGTGGGACCCCTGTGCAACCAAACTCCATCTCCCCGGCCGCCACCTTGAGATCGTCTACACCTTCTACCACAAATCCAAGCAGTTCTGACCGATCTGCGGAAGGCTCGATTGGCAGCCCGGCGACGTTGTCGAAGAGTGGCGTCACTTTCAGGTTTGCCCACGAATTTTTTCGATAAAACCCATTTTTTTCAGGGATCGTCACTCTGTCATCTCTCCTCCCGGATCTCGTGCCCCTTCTCAACAAGCAGCGGCGATCACGAATACTCGGCAAAGTGCCGAGCCAAGCGCCCCTCCGCTTTCGGTATGAAGATTTTTGTAGTTGATTGCTTGGATTAAAGAAGCTCAAAAGCAAAAAATGCTTGAAACGCTATCGCTTACTACTGTTAATACAAATGTTATTTAGAACCCGAACTCGCTAACCCGAGACCAGGTGAACGCGTTGAACGTGATGCTCGACGAGTCGTTGTACGTGCTGAATGGGTCGATTGAGTGAGTTATTTGGATGATGGCTCCCTATCTCTCTGGCTCTCTCTGGCCCTCTGGCTCTCTCTCACTCTCCCTCTCCCTTGCTCGTTCTCTCTCGTGTCTCTCTACCAGCCTCTATCTGTCTCTATCTACCTATTGCTCTCACATTCTCTCTCTCTCTCGTCTGAAACACTTGGGGAAGGGGCGAGAGAGAGAGAGAGAGAGAGTGAGACGCGAACAAGCTCGCGTCAATCCTAAAAACGACGTAAATTCCAGCTCGCTCCAAAACACGATGAACCGCAGCGCGAATTCCTGGACATTCGGCAACAGCGAGGAGTTTCTGCAGCCCAGAAGGTCACCAAATAGGCAACCGCCCGTCTGTGCCCTTTATGCGAGGACCCCGGAAAAGTGAGTTGGTTTGCGCTATGGATTAGGTTTTGTAAAAGTGGGAAATATTTGTCCACCCACCGCAGCCATAACAAAACGGGGGAAAACGGAGAGAAATGGGGAGATTTCAGTCGTCATAAGGTGCTGTGTGGAATTTTCCAGATTTTTCTGGTATTTTGTAATTTTGCGTCAGAACTGGTATTTTTTCTGAGTTGCTGCGTGACGGACGCGGGATGGAGTTTTTTTTTGCTCAATACAACTCTTGCGCTACCTCTCGCGCGCTCTCTCTGTCGCTATCGCTCTCTCTCTCTCGCACTCTGTAATGGTGCAACTTCTTTAGTTTTCAAGTATTTTATCCGAAACAGATTTCCGCAATGGTCTCTGCCAGCTGGCCCTCAAAAATTTCACAAAAAAATTCTGACTTTATTAGACCATTTCCTTCCTCTTAATTTTTTTTCCAATTGGAATTTATAAGTTTTCATCTCGTCCTGATACCATCTTGATCCGTGATCAAAAAGCACACAAAAATGACCTGCGCCGCCACCAGAATGGTGACATTTTGCAGGGGGTGAATCACCAGAATCTGGCCGCGTTCAGAGCGTCCCTAGGACGAGGGGGCGCACACGTGTCTGCCGAATCAGAATCATAAACCCAGGGAGAATAGGCTTATAATCCTTTCACTTCCACCAAAAAAGTCCAGAACAAACGCCAGATCATAAGCCAAAAAATTCATTCATTGATCTGGCGCCGTTTTCCTGATTATCACCTTCTTTCTGATTTTTTTCCGATTTCCTAGAATGGCGTTTGTTGCTTTTTAAGCGGCTTGAAAAAGGTGGGCGGACATCTGCCCTAAAAGACACCTGCCCTAAAAGTCACCTGTCCTAAAGGACAGCTGCCCTAAAAGTCACCTGTCCTAAAAGTCGTCTGTCCTAAAAATCACCTGTCCTAAAATTTTTTTATACCGTATTGCACCAAAATGTGTCATATTTTTCGTTCAGGACATTTCATCTGTCCTAAAATTCATCTATCCTTTAACATTTTCGTTCTAAAGCACATAATTGGGTGCAATACGGTATAAAAATTTTTTAGGACAGGTGATTTTTAGGACAGACGGCTTTTAGGACAGGCGACTTTTAGGGCAGGTGTCTTTTAGGACAGGTGTCTTTTAGGGCAGGTGTCTTTTAGGGCAGGTGTCTTTTAGGACAGGTGTCCGGCAATCCTTGAAAAACGCTAAAATCTACCCTTTGTTTCGACTAGGTCTCGGCAAATACGTTCAAGCTTTGGACTGTATTCTCTCTACATAAATCTCTCTCTCATTCTCTCTATCACTCTCTCTTCTCTCTCACTCTCTCTCTCCCTCTATCGCTCAGTCTCTCGCTCGCTCTCTGACTCTCTGTCATCAGAATTCCGCAATGGTCTCTGCTGGGTGGCCTGCGCGACTTGCGAGAATGGCGAGAACAAACCCGTCAATTGGCGTCTTGCGTAATTTTCTAGACCTAGTCGACAGAAGGGTCGAATTTGCGGCTTTCTAGTCCAAGTTTTTTGTGGCATTTCCGGTCACTCGACCCTTAAAATCGCCTCAAAAACACTAATAAAATTTTGTGGCATTTTCTATATTCTTTGGCCATAAACGCCTCCGCCGCCCGGAGGATCAGGCGGTAATATTCGCTATCACTCTCTCTCTCTCTCACTCTCTCTCCTTCTCCCTCTCTGTCTCTCTCTCTCTCTCTCCTCTCAAATAAACAGTTTTTGGCCTCGTGACAGCGCCATAATAATATGCCGTTAAGCTTTTGATAAGGCGCCTGCCAATTTGGGGGTGTACACTGGAATTTGCCGGAAAAAGTGGCGGCGGAGAATGGAAATATATATAGCCGGGGTGGCCGCTGCATCCCGGCCAGCTCTGATAAGCCCGAAAATGGGCCGGCTCTTCCGAATTTTGCATAAATCGGGATCGGGGGCCGATAGCGTCCTCTTGTCTCCTAGCGTCTTTGCCAAGGGTTTTACTTTTCTGGTTGTTTTGCATTATCGGGGGGGCGACCAACTTTTCTGTTACTAGGCCTAAACCTAGAAATCTTACAACTTTTTTATTAAAAAATAGCAAAATACCTACTACCAAAAAGACTATTTTTGGATAAAATTTCGATTTTTATATTATTAGAGTTTTGAGATGGCCTTTCTAATTGAATAATGTATATTTTTTGAATGCCATCAATCCAATTAATTTACTTATCCCAATTTTCATCAAAAACACTTTCTAAAAAAGTCCAAAATTTTTTCAAAAAAATCCATTGACGATGCTTGCCTTGCAATTTTCATCATTCTGATTTCGTTCGTGTTGTCTCTTTCTCCCCCTTTTTCTTTGCTGTTTCGAGCGGGGTTGCCTTTGGGCACTTCCGGTGGTGGTGTGCATCCATCGAAATGGCCGATTCGACCTCGCCGCCGAGGCGAACAACAATATCCTTGACCGATGGGCATTCGCTTTCTCTCTGCCTCTCTCTCCCTCTCTCTCTGCCTCTCTCTCCCTCTATCTCCTTCTTTCTCTCTCTCTCTCTCTCTCTCTCTCTCTCTCTCTCTCCCTTCCCCATTTCCGGTCCCTCGATTGGACCCTTATTTGAACTCTGTTTCCCCACATCTAGGTTACGGTAGTATCCGGCCGTTCCGATACTTTCCTATCCACGTCATTCTTGCACTAGACGGATTTTAGATCGTGCTTGTTTGACCTCCTTATCTACCTTTTTTAAAACTATAAATATCCGGTTTGTTTTTGCGTTCTCCCCATTCCATTCAGCCTGAAACTGACGATACTCTTTAGCTCAGAAATCAAACTAGGCTACCGCGAAATGAAAATCTCACCCGCTCGATTCTTTCGGCAACTTCCTATTGGGAAACGGAGATGGTTAGTTGGTATTTTTGAGGAAACAGAAGCTAGAAAAGCCCGAAAGCCGGAGTTTTTAAAAGCTATTTTTAAAGGAGAAGTTGAAATTAAAAACGGCATCTTTTAGCGTACTAAATATTACTTTTTACGTTGCGTACACCGATAAACATGCCCCATTTTTTCTTTGAACGTACCGTGCAATGGATGCAACCTTAGAACAGCCGAAGAATTCCTTTAATTACCTACAATATGGCTAAAATTCAGGAGGAACTGAGTGTACGTAGTGTCAATTAAATAGAAGACAATCAGAGATCCCTTACTGTCAAAGCCCTCCCCCCTTAAAATCATTTTTTCAGTGCCGCCGTCTCGCAACCATCCACCTCGGAACGAGAGCTGATCGACGAGGTAGCGCATTTGGATCGAGATTTGGCTGATTATTCGTTGTCTACAATGGGAGGGGACTATTATTCGGATACTCGACCGCTTATTAAAGGTGAGTTTCTCTCTCTCTCTCTCTCTCTCTCTCTCTCTCTCTCTCCGTGTCTCTCTCTCTTACCGGCTTTCATACAGCGCAACTTTTAGAATCTTCCCACTCGAACCACAGTACACTCGAGACGAAGAGGAGTAGCGGAAGTGAGGTGGGAGGACATAGCTGCTCCTCCTCCCCACCTACCGTAAGATTGATGAGTGATGAGGAGGTGGCACGATGGCATGAGAAGGAGAATCGACTGCATAGTAAGGTGAGCCTGAAAGACAGAGAGAGAGAGAGAGAGAGAGAGAGAGAGAGAGTGAGAGAGCGAGAGACAGAGAGAGAAGAGTAAGCTGAGAGCATGAGTGCTAGCGAAATTCGGAGCAAGACACGAAGCAGAACAAGCGAGGGAAGAGTGTGAGGGCAAGAGAGAACGAGAGAGAGCAAGAGAGCGCGAGAGCGAGAGAGATAGAGAGAGATAGAGAGAGAGAGAGAGAGAGAGAGAGAGAGAGAGAGAGAAAGGGAGAGAGAGATTAGTGTGCGATATTGCGCCAAGACGTTCAGTTCTCCGACTTCCGTGCCAAACCATAATTCACACCATCATAATCCCCTAATCCCCCACTAATTTATCAGTGTTCAAAGCCGGAAAGTCGCCAGATTGACGCAAGCAAAATCGCACCCATTTCCAGGTTGATAAGAAGCTCGACGCGGCGGCGAGACGGCCAAGCCCAACGCAGAACGAGCACGGAAAGAATGGGTAGGTTAAAAACGGGGTAAAATAATTAGAAATTGAAATGAAAAATAGAATAAATTAGAAAAAGGGGTTCATAATCGTCAAAAACAGAAATGGTTTCAGCGACGAGCCGAGGAATTACCTGGAATGGACTTCGCAAGCCCAGGAAGCCTACAAGTTTCTTGTCGAGTGTGGCGATAATTTGCAGAAGGACGTCGTAAAGGGTAAGATCCCGGAATATTTTTGTTATTTTGTCTTTTAGCACTAAGGAGTGCAATAAAATATTCTGGTTAATTTTGTTAGGCAGCTCCCCATCCTTCCCAGCTTTTAATGGCGCTTGGAAGTAAAAAAAAAACCCGATTTCAACCAGAAAGCCGACAGCTAAAATGCCGACAGTCAAAAGCTATCGGCATTTTGCTGTCGGCATTTTCAGCTGTCGGGCTTTTTCTGTTTTCCCGTAAAAATACCACCCATTTTTGGTAAAATTATGCCTACGAAAAATTATTACCCTTAGACTATTGTGATATGGTAACTGCAACCCGTAAATCGGTTTTCTTGCTTTTCAAGTTCTTAAGAGGCATGGAAAAACTTCATTCGAACACTGAAATCATTACATTCAACATATCGATCTTCTAATTTTAGCAGCCAGTATCTCGCCACGTAGCCCCTCCTCGGCCCCGACGAGTACGAGATGCTCCTCTGACGATAAACCCATTGCGAAAATTAATGCCACCCGGATATCGGCTGATGCGGCGTCAGCTCATGTCAGGGCAACGATACCGGTATGTTTCCGGAATTGGTCGGCGTTTTAAAGGGGCTTGAAAGCGGAAAATCGAGCCCCGTTGTCGACTAGGTCTCGACAAGCCCACGAAACTTTCATATAATCATGAAAAAACAGGAACATTTGCTTTTGAAGACTTTTGAAGGAGGAGATGCAAATTAGAGGAAAATCTAGAAGAAAATAAAATAATATTCAAAGCGTCTTGTGGAGCGTCGTGTAGCTGTCGAGGTCGACTCTCACGCTTCATGGGCCCTTTAAAACCAATTAACGGTCGACGACGAAAACCAATTAATTTGTTCTTTTCCAGAGCAACAAGATGGGCTCTGATTTCGTGGCTCGGCCGGCGCTGCCACCAAAATCGTATGTCAACACGGAGAGCATGAAGGTAGAGCAAAATCACTGTAATTTTTTGATCTCAAAATTTTTAGCCCCCAGAGCTTCCACCAAAAAAGACGAGCCGCGTCGCCCCGGACGCTGGTTACGATAATATCAATGGAATTGGTGGGTTTAATGATGTTTTTTGTAATTCTGCGTGTTGGTGTAGGCTATTTTAATGTGGCTGATATTAAAAATCTATGAAAGTTTTTTAAGCAAGTTAAACTATTTTAAAAAACAGTTTTGTTTCACTTCCTCCAAATTTTGCAAAGTTTTTCGTTTTAAAAATCAATACCATTATTTGAAATTCATTAATTGCATTTAAATTCCTTTTTTAAATTCTAAAAGTTTATTTTTCAGAAAAATCGTTGAAATTAAAGAATCGAAATTTTTAGCATAGATTAACTTTCATAATGTTTTATAATAATTCATGTATTCTGAATTAACTCCTGCAAATATTAAAAACGTATTTAACCTTTTTCAGCAAATTCCAAGACCTGCTCAAACTCCAAACTACCTCCACCCGTTCCGCCAAAGCCCAAAACACGGTAAGAATTTATATAAATCAGTATTCTATTTATTTTTGTAGTATCGTGGCCCGGTATATTACGTAAATAATATCGTAAGTGTACACATTCATTAAGCCTGCCATTAATGCACGCTTTTCAAAAGATTTCCCCCACTGAACTATCGCTTAATTTTTGAGAATTATACTAACTTTTCTACCTTGTAATATTAGATTTTTCGTGGCTAAAAAAATGTAAATTTTTAGGACGATCCAACCGACGATGGTGCCTGCTGAGAAAACACCGAATTTTCCGTTAATTCCGCGAGGCGCCATATTTACGGAGGAGGTGTTGAAGTTCTAGAATTTTAGTTTGCCTCTCTCCTCTCTCTCTCTCTCTCTCTCTCTCTCTCTCTCTCTCTTTTCTCTCTCTCTCTCTCTCTCTCTCTCTCTCTCTCTCTCTCTCTCTCTCTCTCTCTTGTTCCTCAAAAATCCCTGCTCATGCGCCCCTTTTAGCAGTCATACTGTACAATTTTAGTCTTTGTTTTTGTCCATTCTCTATTTTCCTATTTTTCTGATGAATTTAGCAATACGGGTTTACACTTATTTCTTATTGTTATTTCCCTTTTTGCCGGTGTGATTTTCTGAACCCTACTACGCCCACTTTTGTAGCTAAAATGCAACCAAAATCGTGTCGATCCATTGGCTCAATTGCGCTATTATGACTATTCGAACTAGTTACACGTTGAAAACTGGATTTTGTGATATGGGTGAACCCAGTAATAAATGTTTTGCATATTCTTTATCCGAAAAATGCAATTTCTGAGAGTGACGCAACGCAGAAGCAGAAATATAGTTCTGCCAATCGTTCGTAGTCTTGTTGGACCAAGGAAAACAGGAGCGATGTGGTGAGCCGGTTCAAGGCCAACATACCAGTCAAATAAAGTTAAAGTAAAATAACAAATAAGATATTGCGGGATTTAGAAGGAATATAAAAATACTACTTCGCTGGGGAAACGCCGTGGAAAGGAAGTTGATGCTGAATTGATTTTCAAAATCTACAGGATCACATGTTTGAGAATTGTCGGGGTCGCCAGAAATGGATGGCGTAAATACCGCCTAGGCAGCGTCTAATAAACTCGAACTCAGAAATCGACTTAAACTTTGCTCATAGATAGAATCGATGATGATGATCATCGATATGTTAGTGGAATTTGCTAGCGATCTTCAAAACGCGAAATATATACGGTTTAGGGCGGTTTGTGATTTCCCCCCCCCCCTCGCCGGTTCTTTTTTGCTTTGAACTTCTAATTTATTTTAAACAAATGATTTGGTCAATTTTTTCTGATTCGAATGACAGATTTCACTAAAGCAGGCTTTGCGCGAGATGGCGTCTTACAGCTGTTTGAAGTGGACTGCTTTGCACCATTTCCCATCGAAAAATCGGGATCGCATCGTCGATTTTTCCAATTCCTCCAGTTTTCGAAACATTGGAGTTAGAAAGCTCATTCGAAAGAAAAAAATTTTCTGAATACGTTGGCACTATTCGTTTTTGCAAAATCGGTCGGAAACACCGTGATAATGAGGTAGAAGCTCAACGATTTAAACTAAAGGATAACAAGTGGTATATCTCGAATTTTGAAGATCAGGCGCGAGTTCGGATGGCCAGGAAGATGATCAGCGTGGGCGATTGTAGCAGTGTGCAAATTTTCTCCCAGTTCGGAGTCGGGGTGGCTTACAATATAGAGGAAATACGGTAATCGTAAATCTACGGGGAACTGAAAAAACGAGCCCTCCCTCCCTCCCTTCTCACTAACGGTCCATAAAACCATAGGTTCGGAATGATTTTACTGCCCTTAAAAGGGATCGTAAAGCACCGATGATAGATAGCGGTTTTTATGCGTTTTTCCCTCTCAGAGGGTTTAATGTACTTTCCGAGAAAAACGGTTTGTTTGCCTTTTTCATGATGCCAAGTACCGGTACGCTATCGCCTTCTTACTGTGGGCCACTTCCGACGATTTATGTGTCATTTAATAGGGCTTTTTGGGTTTTTCAAGCACATAAAAATTTAATATGCAATAAACAGAACATCTTATCTACAAAATCCAAACAAAAAAATATTAGGTGAACTCACAAGAGCAAGGCAAATTCCCCGATTGCGATTGGAATAATTGATTCTAGACAAGCAGAAGATAAATTAAAAACTCGACCTGTCTCAATGCAATAAAAATTGCTCTTCTAAGCCTAAGCCTACGTCTCACGCAAAGCGGAAGCGTCGCCTAAGCGTGAGCCTCGGCCAATCATACCGAAGTCCAAGCCTGAGCCGTGAGGTCTAAAAGCCCAACAAGCGTCTGCTTTAGATGCTTTGGCGACGCGCCAAAGCCCACGTTGCGCTTCTAATTGTGATCAAAGTCATTTTCAAATAGTGCTTCAAAGGGCTTCGGGAAAAATGTCTCAAATTTTAAAATTTTGGAGTGCCGTCAAAAATCAGCAAAATTGACCCTGTCCGGGAAAATCCTTCAATATGCGTTGAAAGATTTTGTGAAGCGTTGTGAAGAATTTTCCGTTAATTCCAAATCTGTCTTCAAAAACTGCAAGTTGGCGATTTTGAAGAACGTAGAAGACTTTTTATTTTTCGCTCGCGGAACCCGCAGAATGGAACACTTTGAATGGATATGAAAATCTTAGAAGAAATATAGATGAAAAACGGGTTAGCACATCATTTTCGGATGAGCTATGGCACCTCATATTTTCAAAAACAGATCTTAAATTTTTTTATGAAATGACTAAAGCTTTGAAGAATTCAGTGGCGTTTTTCGTTCGAAAGCACAGAGTTTTCTGAATATGCTGTGTTAATTGGTTTTTCCTCGATGTGTTTCTAAGTTTTTGTATAGCCGTTCAAGGTGTTCCATTCTGGGCTTTTTTTGGAGCTAAAATGCCTTGTAATTTCTTCAAAATCTCCATCTATAAATTTCTGAAAACCGGTTCGGGATCAGTGCAAAATTCTACATAAAATAGGCCTGTTGCCGACTCAAATTCCAATTTCCACTAAAACATGTCGACATTTTTTACACGGACCAATCAGAGCCCGAGAAAGTTACTGTCATTTATCAAACCCCAAGCCCGGTCGCCTGGCCAAGTCGTAAAAATGGCTTGAAAAACGAAGTGGAAACTATGACTTCATAAAAGCCACAAAATCTCGTGAGCACCGCCCAAAGCCGCACTTTTTTGATGGCTAAAATGGGCCATTTTTTGAAGATATCGGAAGGCTCAGGCCGCCTTTATCAGGTTCGGATCAGCTAGGCGCGGCTGCTGAGATTTTTTAATCGGTGCCACGCTGAAAAACCATTCGAGCCTGCTGCCGAAAACGATAAACAACGCGGGCAGCGTGCGCTGTATCGTATCGGATCCGATTTTCGAACTTTCAAGCATATTCGGTAGGCGTAGAAAATAAGTTAGGCCCTGCTCTAACTCATTTTAGTTTATTTACCAATCGATACTGTGGGACCAAATCGCATGCACTCTAAGCTATTACGTCATCTAGTAGAAAAAGTACTTCTCCCCATCACCCCGCACGAAAGTTTTCCCTGACCTGGCAGTCAGCTTTTTGGGGATACCGTAAGACACCTCTGATTCGGCGCCAATCAGCAGCTGAATAAAATTTTTTTTCAGAATTCTGCCAAACATGGTGACCAAAAACTAGCTAATTCCCTTCTAGCGTTCCAATTACGGGTATTTTGTTACCGATAGGGTGCGTAATGGTCAAGCTGACTGCAGCCGTAACAGATTTCTCAAAAACCGCTGCTTTCGTTAGTAAATTTCAATTTTTATAACGTTTTTGGGCGCGCTCCCTGATACGGAACAATTAGCATCGAAATCGCCAGCGAAAATGCTACAAAAATCGAGCGATTGCACCCTCGGATTCCGGGATTTTTTCGAGACAGAATATAAGCTCACTCTTATTCCCGGTCGGCGCTTTCGAAAATCACGTTTTTGTAAAATCGGCACCTCAATCGGAAATCACGATGTCCAGTTCAGCACCTCCAAAGCCACCATTTCGAAAATCGCTTTTTTCGAAAACCACGATTCGAAGCCCATCTCTCAGCCGTAAAAAATCTGAATTTTCCCGTTGGTTTTCAATTCTTCAACGAGTTCGGGTGCGAGTGCGAGTATGTTTGTATGATATATCGACGTTCAAATAATGCCCTGTCAAGATGGAGATTTTTTGAAAGCGCAACTTTCGAAATCCTGATCTTTCAAAATGGTGATTTCGAAATCGTGTATACGATAATTTAGATGGCGAGGAGGGACATTGCTAGGGATGCCAACGGCATTCCTCTAGACGAGCGTACTTTCGCCTACGTGTTTGTTATTATTCTATACATCGCATCAATGATCATCGGGGGAGTTAGCTGCGTTAGCGGCTATAGCGAGTCGTGGATCGTTGTATCCTCCAACCATAGTACAGAAGAATATCGGGTGTGCCAATTTTCTGCAGCTAAACAAAATCAACTATAATAATTTTGTTGTGGTGTCAGTGTGTCCGAAGCCGAATTCAACTCGAAGGGGAAAAGAGCTAGAGCTTAGCTCTCTTCGGATTCGGATAGAGCGTGGTCGGAAACCCCCAAACTGATAAAAAAAATTACGAAAAAGTTTTAGTTTAAATTATTAAAATTAACTTTGAAAGTTTTCCTAAGGTTTTTAACCAGCGAACTGAGGTCTCAGTTTCGGATCGCAAGGAGGTCTCCTGGGTCCACCACGAATACCCTGCCCGGTCAGGGTTGCCCCAGTAGCTGCGGCACAGTGAAAAAGGGGTGGGGCGGCTGAATTATTCGTTGTTAATTTAGGTAGTTTTTGAAGGGGATTTCAGCCATGGGGGGTATCTGAAGCCATCAGGAAGGTATTTAGGTAGTTTTTGAAGGGGATTTCGGCTATGCGGGTTTCTGAAAACATCAGCATATGTAATGATGAAAGCAGCGAGGGATGTGGTGGTGTAGAATCTGGAGGGTAGCCCGAAGGCCAGTCGATTACAGTCGCGAAGCGGCTGTAATCGACTGGTACTATGATATTTAGCGAGGTTTGTTGAGCGACTGCGCTTACAAAGAT